CCCCAAAACCCCAAAACCCCAAAACCCCTTGAGTAATTTAAAAATTTGAATAATTTTAAATATGGACATTAGAGAAAAAACAAGAAATCTTAGAGAGGCAATTAAGCAGAGGCTATCTAAAGGGATTGAAGAGATACCTAGTGATACGGTAAGGATATTAAGGGTCTAATGCTGTTTGAGGTTATTAAAGAAAAGTTTCTTTTGTCAATAACAAGTTCTTTAAGTAATTTAGTTTAGTTTATTGTCAATAATTTATAGAATATTAGCCTTTTATACTAAATCAAGCACCAATTTTCTAATATAAGTTATCTAATCTTTTACTTCTAGTCAAGCGATCTTAATTTGTTGGCATCACCAGAAAGTCCAGTTATCAAATCTCCGAAACTTCCTCTAAATACACTGACAGGTAAAAATTTGTCTCTACATAAACAGTAAAATAAATTCACCTTGATAACTGACTTTATTAGAGAACTACAGCTAAAAATAAAGACACACACCAAGATATGGCTTAAAGTAGCATACTATAAACTAAAAATTTCTGTTAGGATTTAAGTGATGAGTTTTATTCGAAAATATTTTGACAACAAAGATACTGGTACCCTCTTCGTCCGTGCTGAGGCGAATAAATTTCATACATCCCAATAAATTGATCTACTTAAAGAGCTTTGACAAGTCACTAGAGGAATCATAGGAGCTGAATCTAGAGTTCTTTATTAAAGTGATTTTCATATTTCTGACAATTTAACTATGATAAATCTGCTTAGTAAACCAGTGAAGTACTTTAGTTTAGATCACTATGTAGCAACTAATTGTATTATTAGATTTGACAAATCTTCGATTCTCACTATTTCTCTAAACAATGCAAAATTTAACTAAAATTTAAATGCAGATAATTAAAGAAATTGAAGAAAATGATAATTTATACCCAGAAAGTCAAGTTATCTTAGAAGAAGAGACAGAAGACAACCTTGAAGTACAATCAAAAGACGAACAAGACCAAGAATTGAGGAAAGAATTAGAGGAAGAATTCAAAAATGAATTAAAATTAGAATCGAGACAAATATCAAAACAGGTATCAAACCAAGGTCTAAACCATGAGCCCCTTCCAAAGAACCACCCTCTAAGCCCACCTAAACAGCACGCCCAAGCCCCATCCCCACCTAACCCCAAACTCTCCCTTGCTCAAGAGGACATTCTTCACCAAAAAGTACTCATTCTTCACTAACCCCGTACAGATTCTGAAAAATGTAAGCAAAACATTGGGAATTTTAGGAAGAGATTAAAAGAGATAATAGCAAAGAAATTGAAAGGTTAGAAAAGGAAATCGCAAGGTTAGAGATAAGGTGAGCAAAGATTTTGAGATGCCTTAATGCTTGATGATAGGACGGAGTTAAAGGAGAAAGGAATTTGAGAATTTCAGGAGAGAGAGTCGAAGTTAGACATTTTGGAACAGAAACATAGGGAATTCAAATTTGGATTAAGAGAGTGGTAAGAGTTGCGTATAGATTATTATAGTGTCTTAAGTTTGAAATCTTTGCAAAAGAAATCTCAAAAAATTCAAAAGAAGAAGCATAAACTTTCAAAAATTCACAAACTTCTTATCCAATTAATCCCTCAGCTCACCTCTGAATCAACCCTTTAAAACAATATCTAATCCAACTTCCCGAATCCAAAAGGGGTTTTGGGGTTTTGGGGTTTTGGGG